AGTGCTGACGAGTCGCCCTGTTCGTGCTGTGAGCGAGACTGGTCGCTTGTCCACAGGGTATATAACGGAATGAGATTATATAGAGTCTACAATGGGATCCATTCCTCCATTCTTGACTCAAGTTTACATCTCGTTGACATTGTGCTGTAAGATTCGAATGTTGGGCTCTGCGGCTTCAGAGGCTTGGGGGTTTCGGTGCAGGAAAAGCGGAGAAACGCCCGCGTGCTGAGTACGGGACTGCCAGGTGAATTCAAGAAAGGAAGCTCTACTGCTCTACAAGAGCTGCATCGCCCTTCAAGTGAGCACACTTGCGTTAGGCAAACAAAAGCCTTGAAGCCATGTGGACCCTATCTTTGCGCCCCAGACTCCACGACCCTGTTGAGCACATGAGCCATTGTCAACATTTGGCTTATCAAGGGACCATGAACACTGGACATAGGGGTCCTCTTGCACTGGTATCTTATTATCATCCCAAATAGAATCCCAAATAAGCAACCCATGTCCAGTAATTAGGTTTCTGGGTATTAGTTACTGTAGCTCATATCATATACGCCTTCTTTTAAAGTAGCGCCCCATGGACATAGACCTCTTTGTCTTACTGGTTCTTAGTAGGGAACAAGGGAATACATTATATGAGGACCTCTGAGCCCCTAACACCCTAAACCCCAAAACCCCTCAACCCCTAAACCCCTAACTCCTAAACCCCTAAACCCGTAGTCCTTCAACTCCTAACTCCTAAACCCCTAAATCCCCTAAAACCCTAAACCCCTAAAACCCTAAACCCTATATAACCCCATTATAGTAGTTTCCATGTTCTTGTCGATTTTCCCTATATTTTACCTTATAATGCCCCTTTTTACCTTATAATGCCCCTGTAAACCCCTAAACCCTATATAACCCCATTATAGTAGTTTCCATTTTCATTTCCATTTTCCCTATATTACCCTATACTACTACCCCGATAAACCCCAAACCCTACACCCTACACCCAAAACCTAAACCCCTAAACTCTAACCCCTGAACTCTAAATCTACAAGGTTCCTGAACATGATTTTTAATTTCTGTTACCTAGAATCCTAATATTTAGCTGAAATTATAATTTCTACTGGGGTTCCAAATCCCCTAAACTCACCCTAAACCCTAAACCCTAAACCCTAAGCCCTAAACCCACAGCCAAGGTGTGGCTGCGGAGCAAAATGTGTTGACTGCCACGCCTACCTCACTACAAAAGGCTGGCTGGGTCTAGGGTTTAGGGTTTAGGGTTTAGGGTAGTGGCAGTAATAATAGTGAGAATATTAGTAACAGTAATGATAGTTATCCTAGTTATAACAGTAATAGATTCTAGTCATCATGGTAATAACAGTATTAGTTGTAATAATGGTAATAATTGTTTCTCAAAACATTCTCGTTTTGCCCTCCAGGGGAGCCATCATCCCGGTATGGAGATCCTAGATATGCCTAGCGTTCTGCGGGCTACCTATCTCAAGAATCCAGGCATTGAAGAGGTTTTCTTGAGAGCTGGCTTTGGGCCATGTTATGTTGAGATGACTCTTATCCGAATGCTTGATGGCTTGATGTTGCCTCACCTGAGTAGTATTTTATTTGGGGATACTATGGTACCCAATATAGAGTAGGATTATATCCTCCTTTTCGGGTATAGTATTTTATATAAGGAATATAATCTTACTGGGTTTAACAACCAAAAAACGGTACTCACCTTGTAAAAGCTGGAACATTCAACTTGAGAGTTTGCGGAAAGAAGCATATAACCTCAATATGTAACCCATTATAGTAGTTTCCATTTGATTTTCCATTATCCCAATAGAACCCCAATATAAACCCTATATTTTATTCCAATAATGTGCTTTGTGGCTGAGGGCACTCAGTGTGTCTTACACCAGGCTTCTCGCTACCTGCGGATGTGTCAAGCGCGGTGACGACCCGAGGCGGCTTATATTTAAACTAAGTACAGGATCAGCGCACGTCCCTGGGACGGCCTTTCCAGTAATATAGAGGGGTAATATTAGGTTATATTGGGGTAATCTTAGGGTTGTATGGGGTAATATTAGGTTATATTGGGGGTAATATTAGTGTTATATGGGGATGATATAGGGATAATGGGACAAGAACATGGAAACTACTTTATATTTTTAGGGCCGCTGCGAAGCCTTGGCCAGGAAAGTCGGGCTGGTCCACTGCCATTGATTGGCAAGCAGCAGAAGCTCCCCAGTGGCGGCCGGTGGGAAAGGATAAGGCATGGGTGCCGCATAAGCATTGCTTTCTTCCGACGTCCTTGCAAGCTACACTCCCCCAAACTAACATGGAAACCCATATAGCCCCTCTTTAGAAGGACTGTAGTCTTTATAGGGCCCTTTTTGGGTTTCCATGTTAGTTTCCAGGAGTGTAGTTGGAGCTTAGGAGTCCAACATATTGTGGATGGAGACAACATCGTGCATATATCCACTGTAGCATGAAGCGAAAGCAGACATGTTGGTGTCTTTTTTGCAGTGCTTCTATTTACCCTATTATAATATAGTAGTTTCCATTTTCTTTTCCATTATCCCTATATAACCCCTATATAACCCCTATATAATTACAGTAGTTTCCATTTTCTTTTCCATTATCCCTACATAATCCATCTTATAATCTAAACCCTAAACCCTAAACCCTCAACCCTAAACCCTAAATTATCCCTATATAATCCGTATTATAAT